AAAAACACTATATGGTTTTCCTTTCTGTATTGATGCATGGTAAAGTTTGAGGCTTATTTTACATGCAAAAAAAATACACTTTATCCATTCTGCTAGATGAAAGAAGTACTGATATTTGAAACCTGCTATACCCTATTTTACTTGTACTTTTTATATAATATATTATATATATATATATATATATATATATATATATATATATATATATATATATATGACTATTTCCAGCTATAGTGGCAAGTTAATGCTCAGATTGTCTGAAGTGGGTCAATTCAAGGCGTTTTAGTACTTCTCCTGATTAAAAATGAAATTTTCAATTTTGATGGATGATGGTTTTCATATATGTTGAACTTTTGATGATTCTTGTGCTTCTGAGAAGAATGCATTGTGAAATGATCACGTAGTTATTTCTTATATTTTCATTGTAAATAGATCAGTTGTCATTGAGGATATTTTAAGTACCAATTTACTTATGTCTTATCTCTGTAAGGGAAAATGTTAGTATGAAATTTCACTTAAAAGTGGAGGGATTTAATATAAAAAAAAAAATAGATATCTTTTGTCTAACAGTCACTTTTTGAAGAAATTTTTCTCTCTCTCTCTCTCTCCTCTTTTAAACCACTTAAAAAAATTAAATAACATTTGTCCTGGAATATAAAGGTGTTGACTGCATAATGGCAAGACTTGTGCATGATTTGAGAAAATCAAAATTTTTGGCTTTTAGCTGAATTTGTGGAAGTGGGAAATTTCTTGTTGGTTTTGTTTTAAATTTGTTCAACTTCTACAAATATTTTATTTAATACAAGGAAAGCATCCAGCTGTTTATCCAGTAACTTTCAGAAATTAGAATATAAATAAGTTTTGAATTTAAGTTTGCTTTTAATTGGCAGAAAACAGCATAGAATGTCAATAAAAAGACAATTTACTTTTGCATACTTTGATATAAAATCTTGAATTAAAAAAATACATGCTGCTTTAAGTACACAAAAGTAATTATTTTTTACCATTTTTCTTATTAAAACCAAAATTAAATCTTTCAGAAGGACATTAATACAATTTTTAAAAAAATGTCTATCAGAATAACTCCTGAAAACAGTCAATTTGACCATCATTGAACTTTATTCACTATTTAACATTTTGACAAAAATAATGAATTGTATGTACAATGTTTTATTTCTTTCAATAAAAATATGATTTAATAATTATTTAACTTTATCTGGTATAAAGCTATATTAGTTGGACACTAAGTGAGGATCAAATTCACTATACAAGTGAATTGTTTTGCAAGATGAGCTAGTTAGCTATTGTGCTGTTAGATGCCCAAAATACCATTATTATAAATACTGATAGTGTCAGTGAGAGGTTTTTTTGCTATGTGACTGTGTATCTTGCTACTGCCTAACCTAATCTCCTGAGTAGCTTTGACAAGAGGATGTGCTAGAAATGATTTTACAAGTTTTGGCTAAAAGCCAGTTAATGATATATAATAGTAATTTAGGTTGTTCACTGTGCAGGTAGCTAATATTTGATTGTCATCACCTCTATTCTTTATAGATGATTTTATTTAGCATTGTAGAATCTTGCAGTAATGCTAATTCCATTGCTTTTTAGGTTAACGTTACAATCTTTGTAATGTTCTGAACAGCTGATATTAATTGAATTTAATGTAATTTATTGTAAAAAAAAAACAAATAATAATTGAAATACCATTTCATCTATTTGGTAATGTTTTTTTTTAGTTTTAATTTCAAATTTGTTTTGTGTACATTTAGAATGTTTAACTTCAGATTAGAATTACTATACTGTTTACTACTTTTTTTTCTCCACTCTACAACCTCTTCCTTATAGACTCAACGTTACAAACCTGTTGTTACTTTCACACTATTTCCATGGCAAATGTTTAGATGCATTCCATTTTTTAGTTCCACCAAGTCAGACCTTTACAATATGTCATGTTGCTTTCACAGAGTTGAATCACCTTTGTTTCTTTCATGTTCCAAATGTTAGAAGAAAGTTCCACTTAGTTTTTCACAAGAACTGCAACATTGTACAACAGACTCATGCATGGATCCTTCCATGAACACTTCAAACATCTTCAAGGATCAATCAGCAACTTTCCTCAATACCCCCTTCTCTTCCATTTATATCACATACCTCATTCAGCTTGACCATTTTGACTGTAACCCTTGACATTTAAATGACTCGTGAGCATTGTACTGCATTCAGTTATTTTTCTCTATATATATATATATATATATATATATATATATATATATATATATATATATATACACACACACACACACACACACCTTGGTTTACATTGTTTTGAGTTAAGTTGTTCTTGATTATACATCATTTGTCAAAAAAATATATATGGAAAAATAAAAATCAAGTTTTAGTCATTTTATTTGACTTTACATCTGTCCACCACAAATATTGAAGTTGTAATGTCACTAGAAAAGCCTTAAAAGCATATAAAGTCATGTTACTGTACAATAAATAAGAATTAAAGTATATAAAATGACAGTAAATATTAATATAATCATCATAAATCCTTGAAAGCAAAATATGAAAACATCTGTGACTCTGTGTTATCTTATTTAGCGGTTTCTAAGAGCTCAATATTGGCATTTTCCATGGTAGTTCCAAAATCTACCATTTTGGCATCATCGTCAGCACTACTCTTGATTCCCACAAAATTGAAATCCAGTTTATTTTAGGCATATGCACAGTATATGTCTACTTATTGCCTACTCTCTCATTCTCATTCATTTGTGACTTTGCCTTGTAAGAAAATTCTTAGTGCAAGTGCTAAGTGTTATGCTATAATGCCGGATGATAAACTTACTATGATAAAATGCCACGAAAAAGGTTATATTGATTACTCGATCCTTTGGAATGAGTTGGATAACTGTATCAATGATTGTTCACAATAAGGATAAGATGTTGGCCCATATCAAATCTGATGCCCCAGGGATAAAGAAAATTGTTATCAATAAGAAAAGAGGAAAAATCTTTGAAGATATGGAACAACTTTTTTCTCTTTGGATTAATAGGTTGAATCCTCAGCATGCTGCTATTAGTCAAGAAATCATTCAAGTGAAAGCATTGTCTTTGTTTGAGGACCTGAACAAAATATACCCACGAGAAAGATGTAGAGTTTAAAGTGAGTCGAGGCTGATTTATGAGATTTAAAGAATGAAGAAGTTATCGCTCTATTAAGAAGCAAGGTGAAAGTGCATCAGCTGACGAACATCCAGCAGCCAGTTTTCCTAAAGCATTGGCTAAGATCACTGAAGAAGATGCGTATCTTCCTGAACAGATTTTTAATGTTGATGAAACTGGATTATATTAGAAAAAATTGCCAGACCATTCTTTTATTGCTAATGTTAAGCATAAGGCTATATTGCTGATAAATTATTTTATTCAGAATACTGTATGTACATATCATAAATACTGTAATATGTAATGGGGAGTGCTTATTTGCAGTTTATAGTGTGATTATTTTGACTTAAGTTGTGACCTCTAGAACCAATTAACAATGTAGGTGTGTGTGTAATACTGGACTATCCCATGTTTTTTTGGCTTATGAGGATCAAGCAGCTGAGTTTTTTAGAACCAACAGCCAGACAACCTGCACATATCATTTGATTATAGTGGTGAAGGCTTGTGCAGAACCAACCACACTTTTTAAATGAGCCGAATACAGAGAACTGCTGCACAGTATGCCACAAAGGTCAGCAAATGACCCCTGGCAGGTTTTGAATTTAGAGTTTTCCTTCTAATAAACCATTTGCCATCCAAGGCTATAGGACCCAGTCTGTCCTGTTATTTACCCAAAGCTGGGAAGAGAATTCCAAGGGTATTAGCATGAATGGAATTTGAAATTCAGCTCTTCAATTCCTCAATTTGAACTGCTATCTATTACTCCACCGTGCTTCTATCTCTCTATGTATGTATGTATGTATGTATGTTCTCTCCCAGAAACTGTAACTAAGGTCTGCTCAACATAGTTGCAGTATAAACCATAGGTGGGCTCTGTGGCTTTTGAATAAACACAAATGCACCAGAGCAAGCATCTGTAATGGGGATTAGCTAGTCACCCTAGTAGACTGGTATCCTTGACTACAAGTGGCCAGCTATTATTATTATTCTGTGTATGTATATATAAATATATATATATATATATATATATATATATATATATATATATATATATATATATATATATATATGTATGTATGTATGTATGTAACAGAGACATATTCATTTCTTGGGAAAGGCACAAATGTTTATCTTCCTCATCTAGCATTAGAAAAGTGGGCTCTCTAGCATTGGATGGCAAACTCTGAATTTCAGACCATGGAGAAAACAACAGGAAACCATTCTACATAATTTTTCAAGAATTCACGGGAATTCAAAAATGAATATGCGAAGAGTCATAATCAGCTACATCCTGAAGGAACATGGCATTTAAGGGGAGCGGGGCATATGTTTTGGTATCATCATGACTTGGTGATTCATTTTGACTAGTAGCTGCACTTTAGTTGTTTTTTGTTTTTTTTTGCCTCTGTTTGTTTTCCAGCCATCATCAAATCAAGGTTTTATTCTGGTTTTCTCGAAACTAGTATTTTGTAAGTCTTATATTCAAACAAAGTAATGAACTATCCAATCTAGGGATTGAACTTAAGAAACCAGTGTTGTTGTTTTTTATCTATAAGAAAATATTAATTAACAATTATAATTTTTTTTTTTTTCTTTACACACTTGGCATTTCACCTTGTGGAGAAGTATAATTCTATTATAATGCATCTAATTAAAGTGAAATGTGTAGATGCTGCCTTTTTTTTTTTTTTTTTTTTTTTTTCCTGTTTTAAAAATTTTTATTGTTAAGCACTTTATACATTTATATATATGTATATTTATATCTTATTGGCCTATTATATCTTATCTAGTATTGTCATATTCTAATGTAATTTGCCATTTTTCTTTTTCAGCTTTAATTGAAAAATTAAACAATCTAAATGGTAGTACCACTGGACGTAGACAGAGTGCCCCTGACAATAATATCCATGATGATAAACCATCTAAAAGTCATTCTTCAGAACGGTCAGAGACTGGTCATTCTGAAAAGTCGGTAGATGATTTTACTGAGGAACAGTTAGTGGCTGTGAAAAGGTTTGTTTTATTTTCATCCAATGTTGTTAAAAGATAATTGCAAATGGAAGTCTCATTCTCTGTCTGGCTCTCTTTTTCTCTTTATCTCTCTCATTAATCAGTTTTTAATAAAAAGAAATGTATAGACAGATATTTAGAATTATTAAATTTAAGTTTGCTATTAATTGTTGCTTTAGGGGCTTATTCCGACATCACGTTGAAACATTGGTCCCCATACGTTCACTGTAGGTAACACATGTCAAGCCTGGTCAGTGCATAGGTGGGTGAACACTTGGGAATACATATTGGTGTAATAGATAATGGCTCAGAATTTTTAATTGGAGAGCCAAATTCCAATTCCAGTTGGGTTCGTTATATCCACTTACATGCAAATATCCTTGGGAAAGTTATGAATCCATTTCTGCCCCCAGCTATGAGTTAATTAGTAAAACGTGTATCTTTAAATCATCATTTCCCCTCCTCCTCCCCTCCCAAAAATCTTACAATCTAAAAATATGTTCTGGTTTTAAATAACCTGCAATGGGTTGATAAGCTGTAAAAAAAACAAATCGATCAATAATTGTTTTCTATTGAATTGTAAAATCATGAATGTTATTAAAAATTACTTTAAGTTTAGTTTTTAAATTTTGCCTACATAGAATATATGAAATCTATCAACGATGTTCTAAAAAGAACTAAAATAAAGTTCCATTAACTCAAAAAAAATTCAAGTACTATCATTAAATTAACATAGAAAAATGGAAAAGTTAATTCATGAAAATGGATTATTTTGGTTCTTGGGTTGATAATAAATGGTATACTTTTCTATACTTATTTTGAGAAATACTATAAATTGAATTGATCATAGCCCTATTAAGATTGCCAAAAATTCCTGTAGCTTAAAGATCAGAGAGATTGATATCTGTTCTTCATCCCCAGATAACATCACTTGCTTCTGCATTTAGTGGTCTTCTCTCTCCAAGATTTAACCTTTAGCACACTGCATTATTACGTCCCTTTCCACTGCATATATTTTTTTTTTTTTTTTTTGTTAATTTCACTCAGATGTGTTTTCTGAATCGATCACCTTCAGTGGCAAGATAAACTTTTTGTACAGCAAATGAAGTTGCATACATTGATAAAGGTTAAGTCAAATACATTCATTGGTACCTTAAAAAAAAAAAAAGATAAGTACTTTCATCACTCTTTCAATTTACCAATTTTACATTGAGAAAAATATTTTTTTTTCTAAAGGTTCTAAAGAGAACTTGTACAACAGTGCTTTACTCCAAAATGTTAATAAATAAATCTCTTAAACATATTTTCACTATATTTTATACACACCTTGCTGTTTTGAAAGATTTTAGTTAAACAGAAGACCCTAATTGATGCAGAGATTAATATGAACTTTTAAAGATTTTACAAATGGGTGCTGCAAAATACTTGGTCTGACTAAGAAGGTAATCCTTCCCCAAATTCTGATATTTGATCATTTTGTCAGCTTGTAGGAAGTGACCAAAAACTTTTCAGTACACCCTCATAGTTATATATATATATATATATATATATGAGGATTTTTTTAACAGATGTAATATTTTAATATTTCTGAGATTAATGGAAAATAAAAAAGTGCATGAAAAAAAATGTTATGTACAGAATGTTAAGTTTATTCTAATTTAACTTGGAATGCTTTTTAAAATGTTATACCAGTATGAAAAAAAATATTGTTTTATAAAATGAAATACTTTTTCAATACAAATATTGAAATCAGTATTAAAAATTTGCTATCTTTGTCAGTGAGTTTTTTTTTTATTTGACAGAAAAAAATTAGTAATATATAATTTGTCTGCTATTTTTACTCGGTAAATATGGTGATAAAATGTTTCAACACCAGTAAAAAGAATTGATTTTTTATTTTATTTTTTTTTTAACCGAGTTTTTTAATACTATTTAAAGTTTTAAGCTTATGGTGTGGCTGTGTTTATCTACATCCTGTATTAAACTTTGCATTAATTTTCATGTTGCTGCGTACATCCTGTGTGCTAACAAATTATTTTTAAATTTGTTTTATTAATATATGCTTTATTATTTGGATTAGCATAATTATCTTGATTGTTATACTCACAACATTTTAGCCATTGTGAATTGGTATCAAGATTTTAAGTTGACATGGTTCAGCAGTCTTTGAACATCTTCCTGTTAATGTCAGAGTATGAAGGTTTCATGTACATATCTAAGCTACATGTTTGGCTTTCATTGTGATGACTCTGTTGTCCTTCCCTTGAATTATTCCATGTATGTTTACCATTATTGGAGATCTCATATTTACACCTTCTTCCTTTCAATATATGTTGGAATCCAATTAGAAGTGCATTGTTTGTATACAGAATGTCAATATCACCAGGTTATTTATTGGGACTCTCCTATAGAAGGGTGTCTAATTCTAATATGTCTTGAACAACCAATAGAGCCTCGTTAATGGGTACTGTGGTGAATAGACTCACAAAGTCCAAGCTCCCAATCCAGGTGTTATGAGCATTTCTGATGGTTTCCATAAGACAGATTTCATTGTTAGTAGATTGATCATATTTTTGAGGAATCTGCTTGGAGAAGGTCACTGGGTACAATGATTAGCACCTGAAGAATGCTAAAACATTATGAGTTATGACAACCAAGTTGCTGGTTTAGATAAAAAAGCATACTCAGGCAGTGAATGAATAAAAGTTGTTTTATTATGTGTTAAAAATACACTTGTCTTTTATTTTCATTTGTTTTTGTTCATCCCAACAACCTGGAATATAATCATATCTTCAGTGGTTCTTGGGCCTTGTATTTGAACAACTGTTAAAAGAAAACACGATGACTGAAAACAACTAGAATACTGAGAAGAGTGTTGGAGTATCAAGAATTGCTGTTAGTTAATCCCTTGTGTAATTCACCAGCTACAGTTGGTGTGAACAAGAAGAAAACCTAATTATCAAGTGTTATTAAATATGTCTTTGAAGATAGGAATTCCTAGGGAAAGAAGTATTCAATTAAAAGCATTTTACTTTAGTAATAGAAATATATGTGTGTATGAAGTGGAGGTGCAATGAACCACCATCCCTAAAGACAAACTTGTAGACCTTCAAATATAAGTAGAAAATGTATTACCATATATACTCGATTAGAGTGTGAGTTTTTATGATCACTTTTTTTTTTTTTTTTTTTTTATAAGGGGTTGTGGTAATTTTCTTGAATAGGTTAAAAATCATGCATTTTTGGTAACCAGCTGCACTATACACAGGTATCCTTTGGAGGAGTTAAAATTCATGCAAAAAATTCAGGGTTCACACTATACATGAAGTTGACTTATGCCCAATTATATACAGTAAGTAATATTTATGTATTAGCAATATACAATGTGGTGGGCAGGGGTAAATATTTATACACCTGAAAAATTTTATTTTGATAAATTTCTCATCTATATAACTACTATAAATTTGCACAAAACATGGGAATTGACATTAAATTAACAATTATTAAATAAATGGACCAAAAATACAACTTGAATAACTTTTTTAGAAAAATCAAAATTTTAAAATTGAATAAGGGGGTGGGTATTCATACAAATGACTTCATAACTTGATATTTAGTTGTGAAGCCATTGTTGGCTATAAAGAGGCTTGTCATAGTTGTCTACTAGTAATTTGCATTAAAATTTTAGCTTACTGTTCTTTACAAATAACACTCAATGATTCTGTGTTTTGGATGGACTGCTCCTACTTATAAATATGGAAACATTAAAGTAGGAGTGGTAGATTTACTCAAGGTCTTTTGTTCTATGTATGAGTATTTAATAAACCTATTCTTTGTTTTCCTCTAGTTAGTCTTCTGTTCCTTCAATACTTTCTCTAATTATGGCCTTCCTAATTCTCGGATCTTTTAAACAAAGACATTATAATGTGATTAAATTGAAAATTTATTTACATTTCTTTTAAAAACTGAAACTGATACATAAGATAAAAAAATGAACTGGATATATATTTTAACTTACCTTTGGTGCATGGATTCATAAAAAATTGAAATGTAATTAGGTAACTTTCAAAATGTAATCAGTTTCATTTTTTTTTTTTTTTTTTTCTTATTTAAATGGTTATTTATTTACTAATTCTAGGGGTCAGTCCTATTTTGGAGATGAAATTGATACATTAAAAAAAAAAAAAAAATGAATTCATGTTATTCAACTTTAGCCATCATGTATTTTTGTAATTTTTCTTTTTTTCATTAAGCCGTTATGAAAGATAATAAGCCTAACGTCTTTTTTTTAAATTGGTGTCTCCTGTTCAGTGGATGATGAACTCCACACCCTGAGAAGTAGTTTCCTTCTAAGTGGAAGAAGCATACTCGAAGACCCCAAATTCCTTACAATGTATAAAATCTGTGAATAAGGGAATAACCATTAAAGTGAAAGAACTTCATTTCCACCACCTCTAAAGGAACAAAGTGGTGTATGGGGGTGCACTCAGAATCACTTAGTATTCAAACAACTCTAGGATTGACGAAGAAAAAATTCAAAATGACCTCCAGTTACGAGCACCAAGGTGAATGTGTTATAGTATACTATTTCAACTTTTACATTGACCAAGTCATTAATATTACAACCCCATCCAGTGCTGTAATCAAAATTTTAGTTCCAACCAAAGGCAGAAAGGAATATTTTTGATGACCTTTGTTGAATGATATTGCACGAGTGGCATCAATGTTTGTCTTTAGATGGGACTTTGATATAATACCACTTTGATGGTAGGATATGGAGTGTTCCAGTAATATTGGCTATAGCAGAGGCTTATAAATAAATTCAGACTGCAAATAACCATTATAGGAGGAAATGCAGGCAGACCATTCCAACTGTCCAGAATGTCTTTTTCATCAGTTCCAATAATTGTATTTTTATTCATTTCAGTTTTTTTTTTAGTTTGAAAATAAACAAGTTTAAAGCTTTACAATAAGCATTTGTTTGAAGGACTGACAAATGAATCCTTTCATGAATCAAATTTATAAGTTTTGTAGTCATTACTGTTCTTTTTTGACAAGTTAAAAATTGCATAATTTTATAAAATTTTCCAAAATTAAATACATCCTTGGCAAAAAGTATTAATATTACAGAGAAAAGAGCTATTTTGTTTAATTCCCCAAAATTAATGTAGTTTCAAAGCTTCAGGCATGTACCTCCAATGGATACTTTTTTAATGGTAAGTTCAGGATGGTATATTTGATCTGTTTTTACTCTAATGTCAAATTTCACTTCTGGCTGTTTTTACATGGTGTAAATGTGAGTATTTTATTGACGTATTACTGAATTTAGCTTCATCTCTGTCGTAGCAAGAAGTTGAAAGGTATTAACTGTTGAAATGAAACATGAACAGTCAATTTCATTTTTGAGAATGCAATTTTTTCCCAACGTTTAGACTGTTCTCATCTAATAATTATTGATTCCATTAGTGTTATATTTCTTTTATTTCAAGACTATCTGTATGATATTACATTTTATAATGATTTTTAACTAGCCTGAAGCTGGCAACTTCAGTTCTATATACACTGTTGAAATTGGCTTCTGGCCCAATGGCATACAAGATGGAAAATTTTCAAAGATCATCAGAACTTTGAATGGTCATAACTTCATTGCTAATTGAGCTACCAAGACAAATTTGGTAACATGTTTTTATGTATTGTCATGCTCTATGTCTATATTAAATGTTTTTATACATATTGAGAATAAAATTTTATTTTGGATACCTAGTTTGTGGAAAGTACTGAGTAGTTCCTGTCTTCTAGTTTGAAACAAAAATGTATGTTGTACTAAATGGAGTATTTAACCTCTTCAAACTGTGTAAGTTAACACGATGTTATTGAGTCTTATTATTTCCTTCTTCAGTTCAGTAGAGTGTTCCTTTGTCTTTACGATGGTGACAACTTGTGCATATTGACAGAAAGAAACAAATGATAGTTGGAAGAATTGTCAGTTATCATAAGATGTTTGCAAACATTACTGGAACATTCTAGAATCTTCTTGTCCATATTAAATACAGCCATAAATCCTTTTAAGATTTATTTGCAGTTTAAAATGTATTTTTATCACTGTACAAATACTTCTTTCTGATTTTATTTATTTATTTATTTATTTTTATTCACTAGTCTTTTTGGTCTGTATATTTAATAATTGTTGATTAAATGTTAAGATTCCATGTTTTGTGTAAGTTTGATTTATGTGCATGGGAAATTTATTAAAACCCTAACTCCGTACCACAATAAGTGACCAGATTTATATAGTATAAAGAGTGGAATTGGTCACTTATTGTAGAACAGGAGGTAGTACAATTTTTCAGTTGTAAGAATATTTATTCCCATCTCCCTCATTGAAATACCTGCATTTCAAGTTTCCTTTGTTATATGAGGATGAGCAAGCTTAAACCAATTTGTAAATTTGATGAGATTAATCCTTATTGGTATCCCATTGCTGAGCCTTTGGGTTTAATAAATATTTACCTGCCTCATGGATGAGATGTGAAGTGTCAGAGGTCAATATTGCATAGAACCCAGGTGAAAACATTGCCTTTTTTTTTTTTTTTTAAATCAACACCTCCCCCTCCTAGATTTTGCTGATCAAGGCAATAAAGCCACTAAGATGGAAGAGGTTACTCAGGCTGAAAGACAAAAAAGTGAAGGAAACTGAAAAAATGTTACTGGAGAAAAAGGACAATAAAAGGGACAGGATTCAAGGAGACAGAATATGATGTTGCATTTAAAGTTTGTAGTTGACAGAACAGCAAGAAGATAAGAGAGAAGTGCAAAAGAAGGAACTCTTTGAATAGAACTTAGGGTTACAGACTTTGTGTCACACAATCTTTCTACTCTGCTATACTAAACAAAGCTTACTAATATCAAAATGCTTGCATCTTTCTATTCATTCTGACTATATGGAATAGTCTAATTAAAAAAGGCACTAATAAAAATTATGCTACTCTTATCCTTCAATAAAAAAAATGTTTATTTCTCCTCAGCAGGAGTAGATAGGTTTGCCTATCATCTGATGCACACACCTCTCTTTTTTTTTTTTTTTTAACATGAGTTAAAAATTGTTTCCTGTTTAGGATTGGATTTCTGATTCCTTCTAAAGTCTACTACAACTCTATACTTATAGCATCTCCACCTAAACTCTAAAATTTTATTTACTATTTTTTTCTCAATAGGAGTAGATATGTTTGCCTATTGTTCAGTTCACACTCCTCCCTACACTTTTGAACAGGAGTATAGGTTTATCTCTTGTTTCCTGTTTAAGATTGTGTTTCCAGTGCCTTCTAAAGTCTTTTTCATTCTCTTTGACTTCCAGTAGCCTTTTATGTCTTAATGCCATTATCACATTTTGGGGGAGGGGGGTGAATTGATTTTTAAAAAAAAAAAAATATTAATGATTAGCTCATGTTAAAAATGGAAGCTAAAATTGCGAATATGGAGGACAGTATATAGTTATCAGGAAAAGAAAATAATCTGAGTTTTGCATTTTCATTGTCCCGTGTATGATTTTTTTCTTTTTAAGCGTGAAATAGTATAATATTGAATATTACTACCACATCTGATTTGGTGTTTCTGCTCTGTATTCGGAGATTATTGATAAAATCCAGAAAAGAATCTGCAATGTTATCAATTGTGACCTGACATCTTGGCTTCAGTCTCTTTCCTACCACCATAACGTAACTTTTCTGTGTCTTTTCTATAAATATTTTCATGCTAATTGTTCTGATGAATTTTCCTCTAGGATACTTAAAATTTAGGAAACTAGATTGGTGGTAAGGTCTCGCCATTTTACTGTTGAAATGGCAGCTAGATGTAACTGTAAGTTCTATGCTAATAGTTTCTTCTATTACACTTCTTGCTTGAGAAACTCTCCTTTGGCTTCTTACTTTCCAGTCAACTTTGATCTTCAAAAATTTAAATGCAATGTCAATTGTTTATTTTCTGTCTTAATTCCTGTTCTTTCATTGTTCTCTCTCTTTAATGTTTTTTCTCATATTTTCTCACATTTAATAATAACCTTTTGTTTGAGGTGGAATGCTTCAAAAAATAAATAATACTATTCTCTTAAACAAAACCTAAATTTGGTACCCTCAAAATGCATGAATAAAATTTCTGAATGCATATTCTCTGCAATATGTTAGTTATATTGAGTTTTGTTTGTAATGTTACGATGTTATACTCCAGATTAGTGTTGCCATATTGAGCTATAATTGAAAATCCATTGCTACTAAATTTTGAATTGACTTTCTTCTCATGAGCAGTCCTGCTGTAGATACATTTCCTGGACTAGATTGACCTTGGAACATGCATGCAATTATGAAACACCTTGTGAGAACAGCTAAGCAAATTAAGTTTATTTTTGTATGAAGCTTAAGTTAAATCTTAAACTGTTAACTAGTTACCATATATGAATATATGGATGGAATGAATATATTGATGGAAACAAAGTATCACTTTACTCTTATAATGTGATTTATTTTTCTATTTTGCATTCATATTCTCTGCCTCTCTCTCATTGTTTGGCATTATTAAAGAGGGAGAGACAAACACTATACAACATACACTATCTAAATCTCTTAGTTTCCTATCAATTGAAGGATTCTCTCTAACTTTATTCTTTTTAGTTGAATCCTTGATGCCTATACTATATTGTATTTCCTATAGACATGGCAAACTCAGTATAGAAAGCTGAGAGAAATAAACTGCTTAAATTACACTGAGATAACATTTTGTAATAAATATTATGAAAGAACTAATTCTCTGTCCATCACACACTGTGTGTGTGAGAGAGAGACTTTGCATGTGGGCATATAATTTATGTCGTGTGTGTGTGTGTGTGTGTGTGTGTGTAACTTACATGTGTCTATGCCTTTTAATAAACAAACACAATTTAGCTGTATTTGAAATACAATATTTAAATACATTCCTCTATCCTTGGCTAAGCATTAAATTCATAAATTTGGGGGCAAGGAAAAAAAATATTTATCTATGTTATGAGGACTTATTTCCCTTTTTGTCTGTCAACAACCCTTGGATAAGAGAGTATAAGTCAAAATGTATGGTTCTTTTAAAGTCATTTTTATGACACCTCCTGTATTTAAATTGTATTTATTTTTTAATAAATGTATTTTTAAATGGACAAACAGTTTAGATTTCAAGTTATATCATTTTGCTATTAGTGACATGATTTTAGTTTTACAATTAGATAAATTCTTTTGCAACTTTTTATGAGATGAGTTTTGTTGTGTAGAAAGACAACCTATCTTCTCTACACTGACTTGTCTGTCTGGTATGAATAGAACATCTACTCATAGGAATGGTCATCGCAAAGTGGTTTGCAGGGTGTAGTGTTTGAGTTATACACATTGCTGAACAGAACTATGGTATTCTCTATTACTGTATTATTAATCCACGTCTCTCATGCAATTAAACCTGTTCTTCATTCAACCTTTCATTCTAATTTGCTTACAGTATTATTAACAAGAACTATGAGTGTTATACAAACTTTATAACAAGTTTTAATAATTTTTTTTCATGCTATTCAAAACAATAGATTTGATGTTTTTTATTGAAAGCAAATTATTTTTTTATTTTGTATTTTTGCACAATTTAGGATTAAGAAATGTAAAGATTATTATGAAATACTTGGCATCACAAAAGATGCTACAGATGCTGACCTGAAAAAGGCTTATCGAAAGTTAGCACTAAAAATGCATCCCGACAAAAATAAAGCCCCGGGGGCCACTGAAGCATTTAAAGGTAAGCAGTTTTCCTTTGCATTCATTTTGTTTAAAATGCACTTGTATTTATTTTTTTAGTGGAAAGGTTGTTTGTTTTATTTTTAAAATGTTTTTAAATTTTTTATATAAAGTAAATTTCATATTTTCTTTTTTTTTTTTTTTTTCTTCATGAGAATATAAATATCTATAAATTCAAGGTTTATGGCTTTATTACTCTTAAAAAAAGTGTTATAATAGCAAATTTAAATTTCCTCAAATTTTAATATATTATGATTTTTATTTCTTATGAAAAGCAATTGAAAGAAAATAAGATATAACAAATATAGCACCTAGCAGTCAGAGAAAGATGAAAACTAAATTTAAATAGTTACATTTGATCTTCTACCAGCTGTAAGCTCTTTTGGCTAAATTAATTAAGCAGATATGGTTAACCTGACTTCCCAAAATAAAATGTCCTGTTTGGTTTTCTGAATAGCACACCTAATATGAGGAAAATAACATTTCTTAAAATTTGGTTTGTTTCATTTCATTCTCACTTGTTCACTCACACTGTCTCTCATAACCACATACATAAATAATGATTAAGTGCAGTGTTTCTTGAATTTTTAAGCTTTTCTTGAAGGTAACATTTTCATTATTTTAAGCCATTGGTGATTTTCACTAAGATCAGATTTTTCAATACCTTGTTATGTTAGAAATGGAAAATGTTCATTATAATTTTTTTTTTCCTCAGGAGAAGGAATGTATTTTTATTTACAAATTTTATTTTCTATTTTCAAGTGAATAAATTAGAAATTAATCACACAAAGTGGCGTATTGCTAACCACACATTCATCTTTGTTAATATTATATCGAGACTTCATTTGTACTTTTATGAATTTAAAAAAAAAAAAAAAAAATGAAAATTACTCTTAAAAATTGAATTCATACATTTAATATATGCCAGCAAATAAATTAGTTTAGTAAACTGAGATCATTAAAGATGTTATATAATTAATTTTAAACCTTTTTAGCATTTAATATTATGTATATTGATTTTTTTTCTCTCTCTCTCTTCAGCCATTGGAAATGCATTTTCAGTATTGAGTGACCCTGAAAAAAGGAAAAAATATGATCTTTATGGAGAAGATGTTAGTCATCAGATTCGAACTAATAGAGATGGCTATGATCACTATGATTATTCCCGGGGATTTGAAGGTAAAATATAAAAATAATTTTTATTTAACCATTCTGCAAAGTTAAAACTTGTCCATTTTATACCATAAGAGTTTCTACATTTTTCTAGAATTTCAATTTTATATTAGAAATATTGTTTTTATTTTACCATTTTCTCAACTTTAAAATGTTACCAACACAAGAAGTACCAAATTAAATAATGAAAATTCTTTAACTCTGATCTTTTAAGACTAAAAATTGGGTCAACTATAACCACAGCGTATTGGCTATTACAGAATAAGCATGATTAAATGATGAATTGAAAGCAAAGTTGTAATCTACCAGCAGCAATCAAATTGCTTTTGTACAGAAAACAAATGAAGTTTGAATTATGAATTTGGCTTCTTTTGTTTCTTCGCTTTTGTTTTTATTGCTTTTACATGTGATTTTCTTTTTATTTCACATTTGTCTTTTTGTTATATTTTTTTTCTATAAATCATTAAGCATTTTATACTGTTTATATTTCTGCTTGATAGATTATTGAATAAATTTTAACAATTTTTAAACATGTTCTAATTTCTTTTCCAGGTGATATTTCTGCAGAAGAACTTTTTAACATGTTTTTTGGTGGTGGATTTCCATCAGGTAATATTTGTTTTCTGTTTTTATTACTGATTAATTTTCCTTTTTGTTCTCTACGATAACTTAAGTAAATCTATATCTATAAAACAGATGTGTGTGTGTGTGTGTGTGCACATCCATATTTCTCTACCAATTTCAATGTATTTGTACACACATGTTGCAAGGTATGTCAAAACCAACTTTTTAGTCTCCAGCCCGTTTGGCAGAAAAATTGATAAAACTGAAGATGGGTACAACTTTTTGCAAAAACCAAGGCAAAGTTTCACATGAACAAAATTTTTACTGGATAAGATGATGTTCTTTGCTCTTAAAGCAAAACATAGCTCATGTTTTGAGGATTAGGTAGAGTGCTTGATAGTTTTCCTGCAGCATTGGCTTCATGCAAAAAATTGCAAAAAACTGAAAATATTGGATTTTTTGCACTACTTAAAATAAAAACCTGAATAATTTCCTTTTTTTTTTTTTTTTTTTTAAAACGATTTTCTTCAAACATGTTACAAAAAATTTGCCATCATGCAAGAAATTAGTGTGGTTTTAGTCCTGCTCACTTCCCCACAAATAACGAAAGACCAAGAAAAAAACTGCTCAAAAAGCCCATTTTTCAGGCAATAACTCCCAGTTTTTCATCCAATGCTTTCCAAATTTGTCATGTAAATTACATATGACACACAAATTGTCTTGTGTGGATGTTTGGTTTAGGTTATTTCAGTTAAGTGGATGAAATCTGCGACAAACTAAGTCCAAACTCGGCTTTTGCCATTTAGGCAATAGTTGCTTCATATGATTCCGTCCTAAATTGGCATTCGAACAACCTTTGATGCAAAGATTGTTTGAGAACTGAAGCGTTAAAAGGGAAAATTTCCCAAAGAACTTCTTATTAACCCCAGCTTTATAGTAAATGTGCAAAGGAGGTTGGTGGGGGTGTTCATGCATTTGCACTTGCAGTTGAATCAAGCTCTGACACTTCATCCCTGTTTCTGTTTGATTATTAGATTTGTGAGCAATACCATACTATTTGAAAGTGATTATGGCTATAGGAATTTTACTGAATATCTAAAACATTGAAACAATTTAACCCCAAGCAACGACCACACAAGGTTTCATTGATAGAATTCCTTTATTAAGAACAATCAAACACTTGTTAAGGATATACCATAAAAAAAAGATGCCTGGTACCTCAGCTAGTAGAATATAAATTATTTAAATAAATATATTTTTGAAAGTAATTTTGTTTGCCTTTTAAGTTTGGAAATTAATTTGTTCTTTCAATTGTTACTCTTCACATATTGTACATGCTTGTGTATAAACTGACTTCATGTATAATATGACCCCTGAATTTTTTGGTATGAATTTTAACCTCTCCAGAAACAATTTACGTGTGTATAGTGTAACCAGTTATCAAAAATTAATGATTTAAATTCTTCAAAAAAGTTACCTGTCTATAGTGACCCCCCACCCCACACACACACTTATTTTTTGTGTTAAAAAACTAATTGTTATATACCATGCTTATGAACACTATTGGGTATGTCCCAATCCTCATTAATAAGTTGGACGCTATTGTCAGTGGGGGTAATATGCTGTCTAAGTTGTCCACCACTGCATTTTGTTGATGTTATAAAGATTACCATTTCATTTCCAACCTCCATTTTGGTTAATCCTCATTCAGTAACCCTTCCTAGGTTACAACACTAATCATAAAAATTTGCTCTATACTTGAGTATATATACTAATCTTTTATAAATTTGTGTCGGAGTTGAAATTTGTCTGTGCGTCTCGATCTTTCGTCATTCAAACAGCCAAGTCTGTAATTCTAACATTTTTTTTTTTTCCTTAATGGTTATTGTGCAAGTTATTCTTCTATGTACTGTGTGTCTCTTCATGACTTAACTGAATATAGCTCTCCTTCATAACTCTAAGTAATATTTGTCTCTTTACTATGCTTCCCAATCCCTGTTCTGTCATTTATTTGTATATTCTTGTTAGATTACTTGATCTTTCCTTTGTCTCTCTTGCCTTCAATGTCCTGTGAATGTCAAATTCTCCAAACTATCTTTCCTCATTACTCTTTCTTTCTGATTCTATTCACTTAGCACTAATGCCCTTGGAAAAGGCATGAATCCATCTTTCTGTAACTGTGGGTTAAATAGCACTGCACACTGGGATCTTTCCAACCATTCTAAGGAGAATAATAATCTGAAATTCAAAAGGAGCCTGAAGATGAATAAGCTTCATCAGGCTAACTTTTCTCAAACATATCTACTGCCGCAGTATGTGTGAGGGCCCCTATGACCTTAATGAATTATGAGAATTGCGATTTTAAAATATATATATATAGAGATGCGTCCAGGTTCTTATAATGTTTTGCCATTCTTGACAGATCTATTATCACAATGTTAGATATTTAATAATAAAAGTGTTGCAAACAAAAAGAAAAAAAAAATTAATGAAATCTGCTAGATTTTATATATCGCCAAAACACATAAAAAAATCATCTTTAAATTTAAAATTCCCAGCATTGCTCCTTCATGTGCATGTTTATGTAAACATAAACTTAGTCTGATGAACACTTCATACAAAATTTTTTTCCATTTTGTCATCCTTTTTTTTTTTTTTTTTCCCTAATATTCTTATGGATATATAAAAGAAAATTATATATTGTTATCCCATATGCACACACACACATGCGCGCACACACACACACATATAAACATTTGGCGGTGGTGTGTGTGTGTGTGTGTGTGGGGGGGGGTTATTGCTACATGCAAGTTGGCTTTACAAAATTAATTTTCATAGTTGTACAATAAAAATAATTCAGTCTACAATAAAGTTGGGAACTTAATTATCCCACTGTACCTGATACTGGAACAAAGGTGTCATTTTGAAATGTAGCAAACAAACTGAATACAATTCCTGAAATAAGTTATCATCCAATTTTAAATAAAAGAAATATAGAATTAAACCTTTTTTAATATAAAAAAGAGTTTGCAGCAACGAATTTAAATATTCCTGTTTAATAATTCTAAATAACTTCAAATTTTGTAAAAGTAGTTTATATTGGATGTTAATATTTTTTTTTTATTTTACATTTTATTTGTATTTTTTGCATTCTTATATCAAACTAGCAGTAGATCCCGGCATTGCCCGGGGATGTAACTGTAAGAGATAGATCAAGTATCAACCATCATAAAAACTGAAAAATAAAATTGACAAAGATTATTGTTTAAGGTTGACGGACACGCATGTCTTAATTAGTTTTTTTTTTTATGAATTGGTCAAACCCAAACTCACAAAAACATTGTTTTCAATCGTTATGAGTCTACCGATTGAATAGAATTTTATTATAAACAATTGTCTTGTAAATGGAATTTTTAAAGCATTCTGAATGTAAAAATAAAGAAAAAAGTGTGCAAGACAATAAGAAACACTACCTGCCAAAAAAAAGTGAAGTTTTGTTGAAATCGGTTGAAAAATGTAGGAAATCCGATCCCATATATAAATGAACATACACAAACAACCTGGGTTTTATAATAAGTATAACTCGATATGAGTTGTCCCCCTTTCATTCTGGCGACTTAATCGTGTTTTCAAATTGATTTTGTGCAAAAACAATTGTTTTTTCCAATTTTGGCACTGTCAGAACCACGCAAGGTAATTTTATGTAGTCCTGTGGAGTTTTGTTGAAATCGGTTAAAAAATGTAGGAAATCCGATCCAATATATAAACGTACAGACACACACACACACACACACACACACAACCTGGGTTTTATAATAAGTATGATGCATGCAATAATTGTAAAATCTATTCAAATTAATATTTGTGTACTTGACATTTTATGCTTAGATAAGTCATTGGTAGCAACAGTGAGTCATAGTAACCTTATTCTCTTACTGTCATATATCAGCAGTTATAGAAAAAATGCATTGTGAAGTTGATAAATTGATTACACATTATCTGAACAAATACATTTGCATTTGATTCATATTAAGCATTTTGTTAAAGATAGGAAATTTTGATTTAAAAAAAAAAAAAAAGCAAAAAAAAAGTAATCCCCATTTATTTGGGGTAATAGTGATGTTTTTTTTTTTTTTTTTTTTTAACTCCATGCCAAATCTTGCAGAACAAAAATATTGGAGCAATTGATAGTGGCTTGGATTGAGAAATCAGTCTAGTTTGTTACATTTACTTCCACTTAAATACCCTTGGGAAAGGTATGAATCCATTTCTCTTCCCCTGCCCCATGGCTATGGGTAAATAGCAGGACAGACCTATAGACCCTATAGCCTTGGTTTGCAACCAGTCTAGGAGAAAGAAAATTCTGAATTCAAACCAGCCTGGAGAGGGTTGTGCTCTGTCTGGCTATCCTGTCCATAACACACCACTGCTGTTATAGCTGTGATACATTTGATGCTCTTACAACCCTAACGGGTTATGGCAATGTTAATATTAACCATTCCCCTACAAGCAAGCATTTAACATTCATTGACTGGGTAGCCAGTACTGCTTTCATGTTAACATCTTGATTATGTCATTATTTTCTCTTTACATGTTCTATCTGTTTCAGTTGTTGCGGATGTTAGTTCTCAAGTGTTGTGGTTTCAGTTATTTGGTACAGTCCTCAATGTTCGAAGAAGGATGATCTTTACCAAGACCCTTAGGCTTCACTCACTCAAAGCCATTTTTAATCATTGATCTTAGAATGCGGTTGTATACAGCTGACAGTTTAGATATTTCTGAACAGGTTTGGCACCATGCATGATGTCTATATGAAAGTCTTGATCTGACAAGGTTATCTAAGGACATGACTTGGGATCATGATGTTAAATTAAATCTTTTCTATTTACCTTTTAAACTAGAAATTGCTTATTTTAAATTACTGAAATCAAAGCAGCATATTTCATCACTTGTTGAGAAAAAAATAATTTTCATGGAGCAATGACTGAAATTTTATTACGTATAACTTTGGTTGAACTTTCTGTCTGAAGGGATCATTTTTATTTAAATTTAATTTTCTTGGGAGTATTAGTATGTTGCTAGTAATTTGTGTTTTTTTTTTTTTTTTTTTTTCAAAAATGTATTGTTGGTATTTTTACTATGAAAATGTATTTTTATACTTTCACAGTGTTTTGACCCCAGTTTACAGGTTATCTATTTGCCAATAGTGGGGACCCTAACAGGTGCTACCACCCCAGGTTAGGGTGCACCTGGGAACAGCAGGAATTAAGTGGTCTCAAAACCTCCTGATCAAAGGCCTTGCTGCCAGATGTAGTTTATCATCATACCCAGGACATAATTTTCTGTCTGAATTTCTGGATTGTGGAATTAACATTATTTAATCTAGTTACATGCTGGCTATTGTCCTCATCATTGTTGTTGTTATCACAATGTTTTGGTTGTTGTGCCATCTGGCTTACATTTGGTGTATATCGAACTAGTTAACCTACGAGGAATTCTGAACACTTTATTTAATCTACAGGGGTAGACTGTTCTCATTCCATTGCCCATATCTAGGGATATCTCGTCTATTTTTTATTTTTAGTACCGCTCAGTTATTGCCTGTCCTGTTTCCACTGAGTTCAATTACACACTTGAAATCACAATTATTATATCACCAAATTCATGAACCAGTGGAAGGCACAACAACCGAAATGTTGTGATAACAACAGCAAAGATGAGGCCAATAGTCTGCATATAAATATTGCGTCAAACTGTTCAAAACATACATTATGCATATTTTAGTATAAATTAATACTTTTAGATTATACTGGTTTCTACAAATGGGTATAAGTATTTTAATGAAGTAGATTTGTGCTGACATAAATTATTTAAAGACTTCTTACAGAAACTTTATTTTTCTTACCTTTTTTTTTTTTCTCTCTCCAGGCAATGTATATGTACATCGGCGAAATCAGAATGGACATTTTCAAAGACATTCTCATTCAGAAGTAAGTATTAATTTATTTTTTATTTATTTTTCATATTCTATTAAATTATTCAGATGTTTCAATTTCAATTTTTTTTTTTTTTTTTTATCTAGATCACATGGAACTTGAGAGCTATGTTTCTCTCCTTGAATGTTATAGATTTGACATAAAAGGGAAAAAAAAAAAATGAATACATTATTGTAAAAATAACAACAATTTCTTTTCTAGAAAAATTTATGAAAATCCATCTTGGAAACCTGTTTTTAGAATCTTTATTTTTTATGCTGTATGTGGAGTGAAAAACATTTTGTGCATATGCTATGTAAAGGTTGTTCATAGAAACCTTGTAAAATTATGATTATGTAATTGAGTAAATACACAGATTAATAATATCAAATTCTGCCTTGTATTTATTAAAACAAATAATAAAACCAAACCTGCACTTTCAATACACTGAAATTTACATTTCAATATTCAGTAGTAATTATTTTAAATTAATTTTATACAGACTGCAGCAGAAATACCTCCCACATAATGGTTAGACATTAGTGGCAATGGTGTCTTCATCTAGCTAATGTCTTACCATGATCATGAGTCCCATAATTCATCAGTCTTAGGGGCATCACATATACTGCAGCTGTAGCAGAAGTGGTGTGTCTTGGGCAAGATAGCCTGATGGAGACCAATATTCTCCAGGATTGGTTTGAATTCAGTTTCCTTCTCTTAGATTGTTTGCAACCCAAGGCTATAGAACTCAGTCTATCCTGTTATTTACCCATAGCTGGGGAGAGGGGTTGAGAAGAGATGAATTCATACCTTTCCCAAGGCTATTAGCACATAAGTGACTAATGGACTCAACTGGAATTTGAACTCGGCACTCTGATTTTTCAATCTGAGCCACAATCCATTACTTGTGCCTCCACCTTGACATTATATGGGGGGATATCTTTGCCACACACTGTAATATATTTTAATGACCTTTTAATAATTCAAAAATGTCCAGGTATTTAGATTTTGAATTCAGTTTTTCTAATATTAGATTGTTTTGATTGATTCATTATTCATGGCTTATCAACCCATTGCAGGTTATATAAAGTCAGAAAATATTTTTAGATTATAACAGCATTTTAAATTTCAATTTTTTTTTTTTTTTAATTAATGCATAGCTGTGGGTGTGTGGATATATGGATTCATACCTTTCCTAATGGTATTCACACATAAGTGAATATAATGAATCCAACAGGAATTGGAACTTGGCTCTCTGATTAACAATTCCAAGCCATTATCCATTACAACAACTGGTATTCCCAAACGGTCACCCATCTAGGTACTGATCAGGCTCGATGTTGCTTAATTTTGGTGAATGTTTTGGAACCAGTGTTTCAACGTGGTGTGGCCATAAGCCTTTCTAATATTAGAATATCTTTAATGATTAGTATATGCTTTTGTCTTGCCAATATCTTTACTGCTAAATCTGGTCAGTTTTAATAAAAATATCAGTATTATACACAAGGGAAGTAAAAGTTTGAACTTGTTTTTAAATGTTAATTCAAGTTTCAGTATATATTTATCAGAGAAGTCAGTTCTCTAAAAAATTTTAAAATTACCAAATAAATCTTATTTACATTATTCGGACTGTTATCCTCATCTTCATTGCCATATTCACAACATTTCAGCCATTGTACACTCCAGCCTTCTTCAGGTGATTTGAATTTCAAACTGAACCTTTTATTTCATCCACTAGGGTAGATTGTTCTAGTTCCACATGCCATCTACCTCGGTGGATGAAATAAAGGGTTTGGTTCAAAATTCCAGTCACCTGAAGAAGGCGGGGGAGTACAACATCCAAAACATTATGAATATGGCAATGAAGATGAGGATAACAGTCCAAATAATGTAAATAATTATAATACCTCATCTCAGAGATATAGACAGATATCAAATCTTTTTTTTTTTTTCTTGTTTCATCAACATATGACAATGCATAAAATTTAAATTATTTCCATATTTTGATAGTAATATTAATAAATTTAAGCTGGCAAAATATTGATATATTCAGTTTTTTAATAATGTGATAAAAAAAATTACTTTTGTATAAATGATTAAAAAAAAAAAAGAAAAAAAGTCCAACCTAAGGCATCAGAAAATAATTAATTAGTAATTTGACAGATTTGAAATATATTCATTAATTTTTATCAAGTACAGGATGCATCAGAAAACCTCCCATGTAATGGTAAGACATTAGCTAGATGAAGACACCGTTGCCACGAATGTGGGAGGTATTTATGCCATACCCTGTATAAACCAATTTTAGGACTTCATAACATAGTTGGAATGGTATAGATAAAAATCAAAGTAAAAACTTCAATTGTTCCCTAAAATTGGGAATATCAATAATATTTTTATAAATTCAAATAAAAATAAAATCATCAGACCTTCTTGAGAGTTCCAATTTTGTTCATGTAACATCAAGTGATAATAGTCTGTAAAAATGGAATTGGCATTTAGATTTCAAATTCTGGCTGAGGTAGTTTAACTTCACATTTCTACTTTTGGGAAAGGCATGTAGTTTTTTTTCTCTTCTCACTCACCATGGATTAAATGGTAGAACAGACTGGACTCTCTAACTTGGGTTGGCAACCAATGTAGGAGAAGACAATGAAAAAATACTCTACTATCTTTCTCATGAAAAATCATGGCAATGCACCATTTACTGATATCAAAGAAAAAGAAGCTGTGGAGAGCCTTGACAACCAATGTCTTAAAGGGATGTGGCACTTAAAGAAATAAGATTGTAATAAAATATTGAGATGTTATAACTTCTTTAAGCTGATAAACATTTTAAATAATAGAATTAATTATTTGAGCTGTTTGATCTTCTAACACTTGACAAACAGAATATAAATATCACCAGATTGTAACCTAACTGACGTTTTCAAAGACTCACTCAGCATACATTAGTACAATTGTTATTTGTTGACATTTTTAAAAGCCTATTTTATGCATATTCTGAGTTTGTTTTTAAAATGGTGGTCTGGTGTTTTTTTTTTTTTTTTTAATTCTCTCCTCGAACTTTGGTTAAAGTTTTCTACAGAATGTTAATTTTTGTGTTTATTTAGATTAATCTAATTAGATTCTTAATTTAATTCTTTTATTTCAATTTTTTGGATTTTAGTTGTACATGTCTTATGAAAATTTAAAAGTAAAGTTTTCTGTGTCATATCCAAAAGAATGAACGAATATTTTATTTATGCATGTTGCATTTTTGTTTTGCAATCAAAAATCTATCTTATATATATATATATATATATATATATATATATAAAAAAAAAAAAAATGTTACATTACTCATAAAATGAAAAAAAAAATGTTCTTGCTTTAAGTTGTTTACTTGAGTTCAGGGCTAGAAATTTTGCTACTACTATTTTCAACAGAGAGTCGCTCCAACAAAGCCTAAGCCTAAGCCTAAGCCCTCTACCTGCAAAACCTCCTTCTTCAGTACTACAAGAAATGAAAGGAAAGAGAAAGTCCCCTCTCTCAGTGCTGCCGCTGGTATCCGTAGAGCCTTCTTTCTACGCGCATTGGCGGTAAGCATTTTGTGTTAGACAAGAGGGGACTTTTCTTATTTAAAAAAAAAATGTGTTGTTGGTTTTGTTATTTTTGCCATTAGCATATTTCCCTCTTTGTTTAATTAGTTTGGTTATCACTGCATGATAATATCTCTAATCACGACAATCTTCATCATCCAAACTTTCCTCTCACCATCTCTTTTTTTTTTTTTTATGTCAGGTGTAGTATTTCTATAGTCAGTTTTATTCTATTGTTATTCAAATTTTTTTTCTATCAAATAAACTGTTTTTATTTCTACCAAGTCAAGTTTTACACGGTATAATAAAATATGAATCTTACGCAAAATAAACCAGATATCCTATTGGTTTCAAAACTTCTGCACACCCCTTTTGATAAAAATTTGTTTTATGAATTGTGTAAATCTTCAGGTAGTATAGATATATCCAAATAATTCATTTATAATACAACCTTTTTCTTTTCTTTTTTTTATCAATGGAAACTACGCTGGATAAACTGTGTGGCTTCGGAAGGGGACTACTTCAAAGGAGATTAAATACCAAATTAACATATGTTGTAGTTTTCTTTTTATGGCACCTCTCCCAATACTTTTTGATCAGATAAATATCTGGTTTCTATTTGGCATATGCTGCATAATTTTATTAGATCTTAAACATACTAAGAATGAGTCATTATTGAAATGTATTTTTCATATGTTAATATCTTAATAGAGTAGAGTCACCAACCTTTGAACTCCCATTACAGAAAGCTAAAATATGAGAAATATACTTGAAATTCCCTAAAATTTATCAGTATTATATGTTTCAGTTTTATCCATTTTCAGTTTTTAATGTTTCTAGGCATAATTTGAACATTTACACTTTACATTGTGTATTATTACTTTCTGCTTAAAATACTAAAAAGTAATTTTAAAGTAGCATTTAAATAGTATAGATATTATGAATATAATTGTGCTTTAGCATAGAAAAATAATATATCAATATTTTTTAATGTCATGACTTCAGTTTACTTGGATAGAAAAAAGAGCTATAGTCCAATATGTAAAAATAAAGAATAAAAGAGAGAGAGGAAAAGAAAAGATCCTGAAGACCTTTGATCTTTTATGCATGATTTGTCATTTGTATTTTTGTGACTACCATTTCTGCTTAGACTACTGATATCTCCAGTGCTTCAGAAATTTTAGTACATTTGGTCTTTATTATACATAAAAGAAATATGATTTTAAGATATAGTTGACTTAAATTTATTAATTTGCAATTAAAGAGAAATATGTAGGGATGGCTATTGAAAAAGAAAATTGGGGAGAATTTTAAGATTTTCAAAATAATTCTTGTGATGTTTATATAATTCTGTCAAATATTAACAGTATTGAATCAGATAATTGTCATGGTTTTATATTATGATGAATTTAAATTTTTTTCACCCCCCAAGCAAGACAATAATAAAACTAAGACAAAAGTGGTTACTGAGAGTTAAAGAAAATAAGATATTAGAAGATAGGACAATAAAAGAACAGGTAGATGGAAGATGGTGATGGATATTATATTTAAATTTTTGAAGATCATAGGTAGCAGGGAAGCAAGAAACCAAGAGATTCACAGATGAGAAGTGAAAGAAAAGAAATTATTAGAATAGAATTTAGTTTACATCTAGCTATTTCAACAGTAAAACGATGACACCTAGTTGCAAGTATTTCTAGAAAAGACACAGTGTAGTCATATTACAGCAGTGGAGAAAAAAGTGATTTAGATAACATTTTGAATATTTTTCTATAATTTGTATATAGTGTTGAGTTAAAACAAAAAAGGAAATAGGCCCACAATATTGACTTCATCAAAGCTGTCATTTCACCAAATCATATGCAACTCTGGTCTTAAGTAATGTACCAAACCATTGGACCTGCAAAAAAAATGGTACATCAAAAGGACAATTATTCCCTTGACAATGCTATTACTGTATACACTTTAGACTCCCCTAGCAATGTTTATTTACAAGATTATAAAAATATTTGAACCAAGTACAATGTGATATTTATTATTTACCATAATATAAAGAAATAAATTTGAAAAGAAATCTTTTTATTAAAAAATTTGTTAAAACAATTACAAAATTATCAAAATATATAAACCAACTACAATGCAATATTATTTACCATTTTATAAATAACTATGAAAACAAGTTTTTTATTCATTCAGTTAAAATTAAAAGAATATTTGGATCAGAGAAAGAGATGCTCTCAACATATTTTAGTGAATTTATATGGTGAAAACAAATAAAAGAAATGCTTTTTTTTTTTTTTTAATTTGTAATTACGGTTACTTGTTCAGACATTTTTATAAGTTTATGAATAAAAAAATTTTTTTTTTTTAAATGCTAAGTAATAAATCTTTATAAAATGGTAAATAATAGATATTTCATTATAGTTCATTCACATATTTTATAATCTTGTAAATATAAAATTATTCTTGTAAATAAGCAATGTAATAAATAGTATTTAATGTCTTTGTTGTCAATTCTCAAGAATAAAGAAAATGTAAAAATTGACTTTCATATGTTTGGATTTTAATAAAATTCTAATCATTGCTTTTGAAAAACAATAAAGATTACTGAAAAGTGTATACTTTAATAGTGGTGTCCAGGGAATAACCGTCCTATTGACACACCATTATTTTGTAGGCATGAAGATTAATCATTGCTGAACATTTTTATACAATCTTTGATACAGAACATGTAGATTTTTTTGTCAATTTCTATGTTCCTATGGATGCCTTGCCATGCAGTATTGATCAGAAAGTTTGTCGTGTAGATTGTTTT